AGTGATAATTCATTTACGAGCTGATAAATGCGGTAAAATGCTCTATAAGATGCAAAATTCATCAAATGTCTTTGTGACGACGGTTATTTTGATTTACAATAAACATAAGTAAAGCGAATCCGATGGCAACAGAAAAATCTCGAGGATAAACGTATATACAAAAAAAAAAGATAACACTATCGCCATTAAGGTTTTCTTGCAGCACTACAGTCTTCGTGATCCTCTTTGCTGAAAATCGCAGCAACGGGAGACAAAGACGTAAAAAGAAACTAAAGAAATTGTGTGGTTATCTTTGAGACGATGTTTTCCCATTTTCTGTTTATTCCACTGTCTGGAAAGAGAAGTTCCTGACATTATCGATTCATTGAACTAACAAATTTTACCGATAAAACGCAATTTTAATTAGGAATGTCTTGAGGAAAATATTGAAACTCGAATGACATCGCTATGTCATTTATCGTATCAGTCTCGTTTTCGCAAATGCTAAAAATATCGTACCTTTAAAAGTTTGCATATTTCTTTGATTTAAACAATGTCAATCCAAGTTCTCAATTATTTTTTTACAAATATGAATAGTGAAATTTCAATATTGTTTAACACACAGATTAAATTTATTGTTCTAATTTTTCACATCTATATTGGAAATTTGATATTTTGATTTTCATCTATTGTACGAAGGAAAAATTTTTTTATAAAAGATGTTTTGATAAAAAGAGAGAGGTAATTTTTTACTAAGCTTTGTATATGTAAAATTATTTCGTGGAAATAGTTTGAAATCGAAACAATGCTAAATCATGCATTTTTCACTTTTCATTCGGACCTATTTCGCACATTTATATCGGCACACAATGTTGATACATGGACCTATTCAAAACAAAATTTCTAATACAATATAACATGCTATAGATACGCTCTTAAAAAAAAAAAATAATAACTTTTTAAATTAAAAATTAAATAATATCAAAATATAATATCAAAAAGTTGTAACCGCTAAAAGTTGCTGATAGAAAATCTTTTACAAAAAGAAACTTCAATTTACTGCGTAAATGCAATGAGATCTTTAAAAAATAACGTTGCGTTGAATGCAATTCCACAAAGTTTTTAAAAATAAAAAATAAACTTTTAGTATTTACATAAAATTTTTGTTATACCTTTAAACATTTTATTAAAAATTAAATCGTATTTTGGGTAAAATTGTGTCTTTCGTAATCTTGCACAAAGTCGTACAATGAAAAAAAAACGAAAAAAAAACCTTTGTTGAAAAATCGCAAACAGTAGCGTTTGAAACTTGCGGCAAGCTCGCAGCCTGATGTTACTTTCGCAGCTTGGCACCAAACGTGTTAAAAGTTCTAACGTTCGCACCTAGCGCAAGCTCGCTCGATGTAGATAGTTTTGCAGCCCCGAGGCGAACGTGTTAAAAGTTCCAACGCACTCTCTTACCACTGCTACGGGAAGTCGATCATCGTTACACCACTAATATCCAGGTTCCGATAAATGATGAGCGACGCCTCGTTCTTCTCGTTTTTCAATCTTCGACGCGAGTGAAAGTAATTGCGCGCGCGCGGATAACGCCTATTAATCTTGTCGATTTAACAAACGTCGATCACTCCTGTCAATACGTAAAAAGGTATCAACAGCATATCTCCGATTTAGAGAACGTGATATCGTATTTAACTACTCAACCGGACTCAACAATGCTACGTAAATAAATCACCCAAAATACTTGCTGTTTCTATATTTGTCGGAATCGGCTGTTGCGCGCGAAAATAATGAACTCGCGCGTACAATGAAAATATATAACTTCGTATGCATATTTATAAATTTCATATAGTTCCAAGCGAACACCTGCCGCAGGTACGTACCTCATATGCATATACATCAGAGTAGGTTTCAACTCTACTTTACTAGCGTAAAACAAACCTCGCGGAATTGCAAAGCCAAGCAGCTTCGTGTCATCTTTGAAACTGACTGCTTGGTACGTGCGACGAAAATTCATGCAGAGCTAGTAGCTATAGCCGCCGCGTCTCTGGCGAACAAGCCAGCGAGGGGAATTCAGGTAGATAGCACGGTGAAACTTCCGGTCAGAAGTTACGCTCGTCGCCGAGACTTCGCGAAAACTTACTCTCACCTTGAGAAGCACTGAGAAAGGAGGATAGAAAGAGAGAGAGGGAGGGGGAAGAGAGAGGATCAAGAGAATGAGCAAAGTAAGAAAGGAAGATTACGGTCCGAGCAACGAAGTGGCCGCGATTCGATAAATAGTCTACCATTAATACCGGTTGCTTGATAAATTTGCGCCAGCTTTATTTACCTGCAGCGATAAGTTACGCTGAAATTTCGCGCACGAACTAGGGCGTTCAATATACACTTAATGGCTTGCATCTGCAAATTAATTTTCACACATTGACTAAACGGGTTTTGGTAATTCCTTAACTCTCTTTGCAAAAGATAATTAATTTTCTAGAAGTTACTGCAAGAATTGTCGTCACATCGTTTGCTTCTTATCCGTTTTACTATTCAATATTAACTTCTCCATTATACTTTAGAAAATTAAACTTGTTGAAAATAATTCTGCGCGCAAATACTAACTCGCTGAGATTTTTATTTTATTTTTACGCCCTTTATTTAGCATACTACGTTATATATGAACGATACCAAAAACTTCGAAAACTTTACCATTCTAAATTTGTGATGTAAAATTTTTAAATAAACTAAAATTTGAATGCACTAGAGGATTAATATGCAACTTTAAAACGCCTCTATATACATCATAAATTTTTATTTATTCTAAAATGGCTCACATACTGCACCATATGTTATATTTTATTCTCATTGAAAAAATAAAATATAATATATTTACGTCTCGTAAACAAACAAAATAGATCCCTACAACTATTATAATGTGTGTAGCTATTCACTTAATTATACAGATTATCGCATGAACAACTCAATTTAGTAACTCCGGGATGGTTTCTTAAGTACATAATACGGTATTGTGGCACTTCAACTTCCGCTTGCGCTCTCTTCTAGTGCTATAAATTATATGCGAGTTTCCTAAGTTAGCATTCTAATAATTTCTCTCGCGCTGGTAGCTAGGATATCTCTGTGTATCTTGAAAATTCGTGCTACACAACGGAGAATAGTAATGGGCGTGCATTCTGTAGCTAATTACAAAGAAAGCTGGGACGATTCAACAATATTAATCGGGGTTGCAAAATGTGTGAAATACAACAATTTTAATATCGACCATTTTTATTCAATCAATTCGTGTACATAATTTTACAACATTTTTTTTTATTCAACAATTATGTGGAAACTCTTCAAAACATGAATAAATACTCGTTGATATTCCCAGTAAGCAAAATGTTAGCAAATTTTCCGTCAAGCTAGCAATATTGCTAACATTTGGCTATCTGGGTTACTTAATTTATCTTAATATTAAATTTTGTATCATCTATATTTCTCTGACAGACAAGACATAATTGTCATACAATACAACAATTGTAACTTGCAACAATTTTTAACGCGCTTGTGATATAAATTAGAAATATATTTAACATTCAGTGATATTGGTACTTCAGATCGCACTTTTACACTTTTTTGAGAATCTGTTATCTAGTATACTTGTTAATTTATTTTTCTATTTATGTTTTCTTTTTTTGTTATGATGCCTCACAATTCTTTATTATCTATTCTATCATGAAGATTTTTATTGAAAAATGTTATGACTCAAATTGATGACTGCTGATTGAAGTGAAAAATTATTACTAACTTTTACATAACGAAAACATAAAGATAGTATTCCAAGTTTCGTTTATAAACAATCCATATGTGTAAATAATAGACTAATAAACGAGCAATGAAGCAAGTTTCTCTACAAACTTTAATCTCTTTCAGTGTACTTTACAACTTCTCGTTTCTCATTGATGAAACAATGAAGTTTCATCCCCCATTACTAGAGATATTTTCCGGAGTTTTCATTACTCAGACAGTACACTTTGCATTCATTTTGACTTCCATTACGAATAACGTCGACGAACTCGCACGATCTAAAATTACTTTTGCTGTAATATTAATAACGTTGATAACATTTCAGTCGCATGATATAAATGAATACAATTTTGTCGTAGTTATTTTATTATTTTACATCAAAAAATATATCATTGATTTAGGCTATGAATTGGTTAAGTTATTTATTAGACAATTTATTTATATTGATACTTTGATTACTTGCTTAGATGTAATATTATAAATAATATATAAAAGATCAACGAATAAATTCCATAAAATTACAACGGTATTATTCATTAATAAAATTATTTGTATCATGTTTATAATTTTCAATTATTTTGCTCAATTTAGCATTAATATATCCCAAGACAGCGAGATGAGTGGAAGTTCCGTATAAACTGCAGTTAAGATTGATTACACTCTCTCCATAGTATACATAATTCTATAAGCTTACCTGCTTATTTACGCTCTCAGCATCTCACCTCGCACAATATTTCAGAATCATAATTAACGACATAATAAAAGTGCAAAATTTTTAATATTTATTCAATAAATTTTCATAAAACCATCAAATGTCTTTTTAAATTTTAAAAACTTAATCACAATACTTTTTGTGCGAATACTATGTGAAAGACTATCATTTGTTGCTAACTCCTAATTTTCAACATGATTAATTTCTTTATAGTGAAATTTTAAGTTGGTTAATATTAAGTTGAAATCCGATTAAAATGAAGAAGAAAGATTTTCCTAGTTGCACTGTCAAGAGATTTAATGCATTTCTAATTTTTAATTTTTAAAAATTAGAAAATATTCCCTTTATTTTCAAAAATTTTATAGATTCTTATTCGTGACATTTGTGTCACGATGTTATCTTCTTTTGTTATAATAAATTATTATTATTACTAGTTGCGATATGTTTAGAACGTACCGTAGACTTAGAAACGCAAAAGAGGAAAATACATGTTTCATGATCATTACAATTAATATCTGTATATGCGCTTATGAGCAATTATTTATTAAATACATTATTATTTCTCTTTAACATCTGTAGCATTTATTCGATAATTGAGGCATTAATGAGTAATCACAATACAATAATTTATAGTTTTATTCAATATGATATAAATATCACAAGAGATTAGTTCATCGAGATATGCGCATTATATGATTTTAATTACGCCCGTTATTCATTTATTATTAAATATGTCAACTTTGATCAGTAATAACATCAAAAATATACACACACAGTCGAAAGTGAATCGCATTTAATTTCCAAAACTTTTACTGCGACAAGTCAATCGCATATCACACTTTTGACGAGTAAGAAAAGATTGACTTGTTGAACACCTTGTGCGTATGATAATAGTGATAGAAAAGGTCAGCGTTATCGCAAGATGAAAGACACTTTTAGTTAAATGACGTCTAAATACTATTAACTTTGTCATTCGTGAACAAGCAACCGAGAGCGATATAAAAAGAATTTTATAAAATATTTATAGAGCAGAGTATGTACAAAACTCATTAAAGGTCCCGGAAATAGTCCGTAGAATTGTCCGTAGAAGACAAAGTCCAATTGTTGTATAAATACATCAATCGAGAGTTCATTAGTAGATTCGCTGAATGCAAGGAATGCTTTCACTCAATAATAAACGACAATGGAAGACATTTAGTTAGGTGCAGAATAACAAGAAATCTTTATCATTGTCAATATATACGTTCTCCCGTGACACACACAGGATAGCCATTTTATAGAAATAAATTTATCGACAAGTTTCTTAACATGTTCGTTACGATAATAATATATGCGCACTGCAGAATCGAATGCTGACAAAAAAATGAAAATGCATTAATTTTGCACTAATTTTGCAAAATATTGAATAAAAACAAAAAATGAAAAACCTAGTATAAATGAAAATTATTAATTACTATACTTACGAATATGACGCATAATGAGATTCGCATAATAGCAATGTCGATTATAGTCCATCAGTTAAACAGTTCTTTGAATTATTTTTATCCACAAGTTTTTCGCCGACTTTGTCAATTCTTACCAAATTGATATCAATTGTACTTTCTGTTGCAAAATGTAACAAATGAATATAAAAAAATTAATAAAATTTCTAATGTTTTGATTGCAACGAACATGCTAATTGAAAAGAGTTTATGGCGAAATTGGCAAATAAAAAAAATAGCCAATTCCGCAATATTCTCTTTTCTTTTATTTCGACAGACAGAGTAGTTAGATAACTACATGTACCGGCACTGTCAGCAATAGCAGAAACTACTGGGCGGCGGAGTGTCGCGCTCGTGGCATCTTAAAACTTTTTGATGTGGTAACAGCGACTTGTCTACCATAGCCTCCATCCTGCGCATTACGCGGTCTAATAATATTTCCACCGCGCGCTCGACATTTTGCCCAGTTGCGGCACTCGTCTCCAGATAAACCAAGCTGAAAAGATAAATTTTCATTTAAGCAACTATTTAAAAAAAAAAGAATATGACACTCGGAGAAGCTCGACAAAAAATTTTTTTAAATTACATTACACATGTTTTATTTTACACGCGCTATTTTTTTTTTTGTTTGACTTACCCATGTCTTTCGGCAAGATCTCGCGCTTTATGTTCGCTGATGACGCGTTTGGCCTCAAGATCAGATTTATTGCCACAGAGAACTATGTCTGGATCATCGCAATACGCGTGGGTCTACATGTATATATACATGTAAATATGATATGTTAATTCAATGAAGAGAAAATTCCACATTTGATTATTTTGTGCAAAATAAGAAATTTATCACTAAATTATACAATCTTCAAATTTAGGAATTTAATTTTTAAATTAAAGACAAATTTCCATGAAATTAAATTTCTTGAATATTTACTCTGACACTACTTTCATTATTTAAATCTTTAATTGTCAAATCGAACGACAGCTTGAGTCATAAAGTATAAAAAAGTACGTATCAAAGTTTGTGCGGTTTTTTGTGAAGACTATATCATCAGCAAAACCGCACTTTGTTGATTATTTAATATATGCAAAATAACGCATGAAAGAAGTAGCAATCTTTTTACACAATTTTTCAAGTGTATCTTAATTCTTCTATATTATATAAATCACTGTAATCATATTTATATAATTATAGCAATACAAAACTATTATTGTATTAAATGAGTTAAAGCAAATAAAATGCAAAATAATGCAGTCTGTTCAATTTTGTCAAACTATGCTAAAATTTAAAAAATTTAGCAATTTTTGTGTACAAGCATTTTATTCTACACAACAAATACCATAACAATCAATACTGAATTCATTTAAATAGCTAAATAATTGGCTAAATTTTGAGTAATTATTGTGGTGTAGTTGTAGCACTCTAGTTTATTAGTATTCCACATGCTTCACTCTATTTCCAATGTCATGCACATCAGATAACAGTATAATTAAAGTGATAATTCAAACATGTTAATGACATGAAAATATTAGCAGCTAATGACAATAAAAAAAATAAAAGAAGTAAATTAACTCAAAGAATCGTTCGATTAGAATGATCTCTCTAATCTTGCGTGATATTTACAATAATGTTAATAAATGATGAGTACCCTAAGTTGCTCCAGCCAGTCTCTTACTTCAAGAAACGACAACTCATTGGTCAGATCAAAAATTAGTAGGAAACCCATGGAATCCCGATAAAAGGCTGTAGTTAGACTTCTGAACCTAGATATTAATAATGTTAAGCTACTTGTGTGAAATGTTAGATTGGGAATCTTAAGTCTCTATTTGCACATGCAGGATGCAGCATCACACATGTTAAGAGATATCTATATATAGCTTAGATTATACATATTTATATTCAAATCTTCCAGTGTTGCAACAGTATTGTGTACTTTGGCATATGCAAACTTCCGCAGCAATGTAGTTGAGTTATTATTTAAATGTTATGCATATGAAAAATATAATTACAGCATAGTATCACATGTTTGCTAAACTTCAATGCTAACTTGCCAAAGAATGCAAGAAACACGTGTTGACTATTGTCTAAAAACTACATGTATCTTTAATCTAATATACTTACCGCTCTTGGCCAGCTGTGTCCCAAAGCTGTAAATGTACTCGTTGGCTTCTGCCATTCTCTGTCCGATAAACCTGCAACAACAAATGGCTTTTACTCACAAATGTCAATGCAGAAGCTATCGTAACTCTTATATCATACTTCATGTGTATGCGTAACACATGTGCAATATTTATACTTTCACTCGCATGGCCGCATTAATTACTTGAAGCCAATATTTTTACAATGCTGTCTTTAAGAAGCTTACTTACAAAATAAACAGGCTCCAAGTGACACATGCTACCATACAAGTTACGTTACTTGTTTTCTTACCACTCGCTTCTCCTTGAAATCAATCCCAACAGTAGACACGAAGCGAGAGTTAAAAGTGCCATCAGTGTACTGACAGAGGAAACTCGTTTTGCCAACTCCGGAGTTTCCAAGCGCCAGCAACTTTATCAGATAATCGTAATTCATTTTGATGAAGGTCCACAACACAAAGATCTAGCAAGTCCTTATGCCTTGAGTCAATCCACTTGTCAACGTGAGAAATACACAACTTTTCAGGGCAATGATTATATTATATCACAGCTGCGCACCGTTAAGCGTCGTCGCGACTGTCACGCGTGTGTGGCATTCAACATGGACACCTGTTGCCTACGTGTGCCACTTTTCAAAAGATCCGTGCCCCCATAACGCGGAAACACTACTGAACTACAACAGGTCGGCCGATTATCGTCTGAAGATCTCGCGTTGTAAGCGTAACGCAATTACGCTCGCGTCTTCGCAGGGAATTTGACGTGCGTATGCGTGACAAACTGGCGCACCGCTGCGTAACGAGCTCCGACGACCAGCGGTGACAGCTGATGAACAGCTGTTCGCGAAAAATGGCGCTGGCAACTGCAGAGCTACCACAATCGCTGCGATAAAAATTCGAAACCACGCGACGGAATGCAAAAGGATATCTTTCTCAATACACAAAGTAATATTCCTCCGATCGACAAATTGGCTGTATCTTTCAATTTTTCTGTTTGTTTCAACAATATACACAAAATAATATTGAATAACAAGTGCACTATTTATAGTATAGTGTACTTTATATTTGCGATAATGTTTTAATAATGTTCCGATGATGCATACATCAACAAAATATAAAAACAAGAATGATGTATATCGATATTAAAGTATAATTATTACTTTTATTACAGGTTCTCGTTTGTGAGCAGAGATTAGGTTAGATCACACTAAAGTGCTATTTATGGATGAATGGACTGAATAATCGAACGAAAGATACACTGAATTGGATATAATAATTGCCTACAATTTAAAATATGATAAAATGCCAGAAGACACAGATATAAAAGTTAATGTTGAATATTGGTAAGTATACAATTGTATAGCAAGATTTTCTATTAGTTAGATTTATATAATAACAAATTGCTATAACTTTGAAGTGGCTCATGTGGACACAAGAAACAATTCCTTCAGCTGGCAGAGGAAATTAAGAAAAATGTTCCCGATGCCACTGTTACTGGTACAGCGGGAAGGCGAGGTAAGTCTGCAAATATGGCATATGAATATGGAACAAATGAAAGTCTTACAGCTGTTATTTTTTAGGATCTTTTGAGGTGGATGTCAATGATGAACAGGTATACTCAAAGCTTCAAACTCTAGCCTTTCCTGATTTCGCTGCAGTTGCGGATATGGTCAAAGATGTATCTGCAGGAAAACCGATAAGAAAAATTGACCAACAACAAGCTGTGGATTGCGTTTTGTTGTAAGCACGTTTTATTATAAATCAGGTATGATTCATTTTATCAATATTTCTTGTATAAAAATGAACTTGACTATTTACTATAAGTGTATATGGTCTACTAAGTACTTCATAGAACATGTCAGATTTGTTGCTTGTTTATGGTAAAAATTTCAACGTGTATTTAATTAGTCACTCATTTAGAGATTATTTACTCAGGAATAATAAATGCAATCACCAATCTTAAGTACACTTTGTGTGCTCTCCAATCTAGTCAAGTAAACTCCAAATCTCAACTTTCCATGAAATTTTTCCGTCTAATGTTCTTAATGGCTCAATGGTCTTTTTCCCAGTTGTTTGATCGATGCATATCATTTGACACCTTGTACAGGGGCCATTTACCTACCATTAAATATATTAGACATATAGTAACATATATTAGACAATAGTTTGATTAATATAAAAATGTATACCTTAAAATTATTATTTCCGATACGAATCTGTTGCCATTGCATTTCATCAAAGGCATTACAACCCTTTATAATAATGTTTCCTCTGAATCGATGTATAGCTGTATCTTTTTCAAAATCTAAATCATCAGATACTTCATCGACAAGCCATGACACGCTTGTTTCATTTATTATTAAATACTGTGCTTGACTAGAAAATGATAATTTTGCCTCATTTAATCCTGCAAAAAGAAAATAAGTTCTATTAGTAACTATAATTTTAATGAAACGGTAACTTAATTATTTTTAAAATACAAATTACAATGAGATTATATTCTCAGCTCTAAATTATTAATCAATAAACAATTTTAATATAAGGCTTATAAGAGCATGATGCTAGTGATTGTTGCTCTTTATTAATACATTCGATTAAAAAGTGTACAAACGTTTTGGCCTATGGGCTATGGCCATCATCAGTGTACAATAAAAAATAAAATATAAAATAAACGCTGTTATCGCATGAAATTAACGAAAAAAACCGAGCGCAACTTAATATCGGCTTTTTTGTCGCGTTAATCTCATGCGATAACAGCGTTTATTTTATATTTTATTTTTTATTGTACATTGATGATGGCCATAGGTCGAAACGTTCGTACACTTTTTAATCGAATGTATTAATAAAGAGCAACAATAACTAGCTCATGCTCTTATAAGCCTTATATTTAAATTGTTTATTGATTAATTATTTTTATTGTACCTTTCTTTTGTCTTTCATGACTTTGTCGAATTAATCTGAGATTTGGCTTGCCCAATGCTAAACTCAACCATTCAGAAACTTCTGATCCACAATCAATACCTTGTACTCTACTTTCGCATACTCTACTTTGACATACAGGATGTTCCATTGACTTTTTAGAAATATTTTCTAAAGGTATTTCAATGGTTGGCATTCCTAAAACGATTTACTATTGTTTAGACTAAAAATGTCTACATCATATTATATTACATTTATAACACTTAATCATTCTTACCTGGATATGTTAATTTCATAATTTTTTCCTTTATAAAAATAATAGGCTTCACCAAACATAAATTTACATAATGTTTTTGTGTTAAACATGTGCCAGAGGATGTCATTATCATCCATTCTCTGTCATATTCTAGACCCTTAGAATTCAAATTCCACGAATCTGTAATCTCATATGCGCCACACGATTTGATAGGATATATAAATAAGCGTTGCACAGTGCATTTATTTTCCGATGTAATTATTTTGTCAGCATTTATAGAATTTGTGACACGATCGGGGTCTTCGCTATTATTATGAAAATTGTTTCGCAAATTATTGCTTATAATATCTTTTTCGTTATTTGTAATACGCAGAACTGGATATTCCAGAATGTTAGAATTGTAAAAGTGCTTGTACTTTTTACGAACTTTTACTTTATGATCTTCCCACCATTGCGGAAGTTTTCTGATACACGGCTCGTCGATGAAACACTTCGCAATCATAAGTAAGACTGTTTGGACATCTTTAATTGTAGACATATATCCAAAAGAGATCCTCACTGCTCCAGTAGGTCTCCCGTTTATTAAATCCGCGGCACCGCCGCACGTGTATCCCGCCTCATAGTTTTGAAGAATTTCTTCACTTGAGAGGGATAAATGCCTCTGGCATGCGCCAGGATTACAAAAGCATCCTGTTCTGAGATGTATCTTGAATAATGCTGCCATGTTAAGGACTTCCATGTATCCCACGTATTCACCATTGGATCGAATGAGATTAAATGTAACGATGCCTCCTTGTGAGCTGCGATCCTCATAATCGGAATCAGCGTACAACTTCACAACTGGTTTACCGTTACAGTGGTGTAACATTAGCAAGGAATGATACAGAATTTTGGCGAGAGAAAAAACGTGCCTTGAGATTTGATCTACGGTAAGTTTTGAGAATATTTCAAAGCCGTATTGCAACGATGCGATAGATAGAAACGGCACGGTCCCATCTTCGAACCTGTGCAAATCAAGATGATTTTGGATAATGCATTTATTTTAGGATCTAATTATCGCTTATTTACCTTTGATGCAACACTTGACGTTTTTTGTGAAACATTTCAGAGCTAAGGGCGACATCCACGGTACCGCCGCCGTAATAAACCTTCCGCAGGATATCCGAACTGGAATTCTTAACCAGCAGGGCGCCAATACCAGTGGGATAGCCGAACATTTTATAGAAAGATAGACACACAAAGTCTGGTTTGAAAATAGATAAATCCAAGTTATTCGTTGGTACGAAGCCAGCTGCGTCCAACAGAACATACCATCTAGTCGATGGTTTATTAACGACAGAAGAGAGTGCTCCAGTATGCACATCTCTGATCCATTTCAGGGGATATTTCAATCCAGAGAAATTGCATTGCGCGGAATACACGAAGAGAGAATTGCCGCTTTGTCTTTCATCGGGATCGCGAGAGGTCGAATGCTGGCTGAAAAGCTGAAACGCCTGATCGTGCCCGAGGCAAATGACCTCGGCGCCTCTACCGGCGACTACATCTCGCATCCCGAGGACTGACGTATGATTATCTTGCAGATAAACAAAATTCCCCGAAGTTGTCTCGTTGTTCTCATTCGCTTTAAAACGAAAGCATTCTGCGATTATCTTTAGACTCGCTGTGGCGCCTGATGTAAAGATAACGCTGTATTCATCGGGTGTCGTGTTGAAGTGACTCAAAACCCTGAAAAGCGATTTGAGTCAATTAAATTCATTATTGCACGCACGCTTATTGGCTTAATACAATCTCTCTCACCGGTATCTCGTGCGCTCGATAATATCCTGTGTCGATGAACTCGCGATACCGACAGAGTGCGGATTAGCATAAAGAGAGCCATGCAGATCAGCACTGACGTTTCTGATCTGCGTATCCGAATACAGAGTAGCACCCGCATGATCCACATAGCACTCGCCTAAAATAAGCACGCGTGTAAAAAGGCTAACAGCGTAGTTCACACAGCGTATTCATTTAGACTGTTTTTTTTTTTACATTAAGTTACAATTATAATATTTCGTTATTAGATCCATCTTTCTTATTATTAATTTTTTAACTCAATAGTCCAATTAACTTTTTTTTTACCATGACAGAAATATTTAATATAACAAAAAAAATTGCAAAATTTAATCGAAGTTTATATTGCTGTACAAATGTTAATGTAGTTTATCATAAAAATCACCAAAATTCTCTAGACATTTAGTAGTTTCGAAACATTCTGTATGATAGTCTGTTGCGAAAGCGAATCGTAAAATGATGTCATCACATATGACCTTGTAACTATGTCTATTATCAATTATGAATCTATAGTATATTGCACAAACTTCTATTACAAACGCAAAAGTTGTAAGAAACTATTAATCCACAGTATGTTATATCTTATAAGATACAAAGTTTTGTCAGAAACTCTCTTTACAGTACTTACTTTTAAGTCTTGCGAATTCATTTTCAAAGCATTTTGTAGTAGCATCATCATATATCGGCGTAAAATCCAACCATATCTCTGCCATGTTGATCAATTTTTATCAGTTCTCACCAGACCTCACTTCGACACTAGAACTCTACACCGATCTTCTAGAATCTAGAGCTAATGCACTCCACAAAATAAACGAGTATTGGACGCGAGCCATTACTCAATCGGCCTAGTTGCAACCATCACTACCGCTCAAGGAGGATTAATCATACAGAATTTTATAGAAGGAATTTATAGTCACAAGCAATCGCGTGACTTCCACGCCACTTGTACAATAACATTAACGTGATATTGCTAATATATACGTCGTATACATACATAACGAAGAAGAATTACATGAATCAGAAACATCCGTGCAAGATGAACTAAGCATCATCTACATAGCATGACTGTGCAATATGATAATTTTTGATACATAAACAACATAAAAAAATTCTTATTTTTAGTTATTCTTAAATCTTATTCTTATGTTTGTTTTACATTTTTACGCAAACAATTGCACATTTAAAATTAAACAACCGATAAGAGATTTGTTATCACATTATGATGTAAGAGCTGATGTCATTACAACTTGCTCAATAGCAAAATGTACACAAAACGTCATAAATGCTCTATCATTCATTAGATATACATTTTCTACATTAATAAAACACTTTCCATATACAATATTCGTACTTAGACACAAATATAATATATTATAATTAATTACAGTAAGAAAAATATGCGATAACGATCATCAATAATTGAACAGTTAGACATGTGTTAAATTTACAAGTGTTATTGTATTTTATATAATTAAAAAAGTATTTGAATCAATTTCCATTTTTGAAAATTTTGCTAATATTAATTAACATATATAAAGATTAATAAAATTGCATTTACATTAATAAATTATATTAAATTACTTACATTTAACGTAAAATAAAAATAAAAATAATTTTTCTCATTAATTTGCTTGATATAAATATATATATGACACTTTAATCAGCTATCAATTATTGATTTCGGAGTTACTTTTAGCACTCTCTACACTAAACACTGCACACTTGCAAACTAATATTAATACATCTGTTGAATCAACTAGCAGGTTTTTTTTAATCTTGTGCAATTTGTGAAAGTTCTCAAGATTATAGTTCGGTGGGAAAGCAAGGTAATATTGCCCATTATAACATTTCGAAGGTAAAATAACGCGTGACGAGGTGGCCGAGTGGTTAAGGCGTTGGACTGCTAATCCAATGTGCTCTGCACGCGGTTGGGTTCGAACTCCATCCTCGTCGTTCTTTTTTTTTATTTTTGTATAATATTTTTATTTAATATTTAAAAAAAACTAAATTTTGTATAAAATCTGTATTTGTATCTGCAATATAAACTCTATAATCATAATAATAAAAACTTGTTATAAAATTATGTAAGAAGATTATTGTGCAAGTGAGAGAAGATTTAAAGATAATTACATATTTCATACAAAAATTGCATTATTTGTTTATATTTTAAAAAAGTATTTAAATTATTTGCTAAATTTATGTTAAATTAATCTCAGAAAAGATTTTGTCCATGAAAAATTATTTATGAATTATTTTATGATTTTCCCGGTAAGCAAAATATTAGCAATGTTGGCAAATTGATAGTAAATTTGCTAACATTGCCAACATTTTGCTACCTGGATTATAACCTTGTTAATTTATTGAATATGATTTCAGATATAATAACATTTAAAAAATAGAAAAAAAAGAAAAGAACCATTTAAAAAATTATATATATTTAGATTTGCTAAATATGTTTCTTTATTTTTACAGACTATCCGGAAGATTTATGACCGATCGAAAAATATCTTTAAATGATAAAGACGCATGATTAATAATAATAAATTTTTACTCTGAAAGGTGCAAAAGCTAAAAATTAATGTTTCCGCGCAAATCAGAAACACATATTTACAACGTGTCATGTACCGGCATGTCGAAAGTTAAAATTGTTAGCAAGCTGCTACCAAATTTTTTAATTTACATGCTTGTATACGTACAGATAAAGAAAATATTATTATACATAATAATTAATATATTAAATTGATTCATGTAAGACATTTTCTCTTTGCGCAATTTATGGAAGTTAAGAATCGCCGGCACTATACTTACCAATCATAAAATAAAGGGTTTAGGGCGATATTGGGTCATGGACAGAAAGACGGATGAATGTAACCTCCGCGTAAAGCGTACTTTTACAAAGGAAAAAATTCAACCACTTACGTGAAGGCTGTCCGTGACCTAGCACCATCACTTAAAGCAAGTGGTGATCAACTTTGCGATAAAGGGCCGCATTGAGAGAATGTACACATTGTATAAATTTTATATATTTTTTACTAATTATTTTTAAATCAACAAAAATTCTGGTATTTTATTTATTTACATAATTTATTTACATAATTTTATTAAAATGATCTCATTAGAAAAACAGCATCAATTTTGAATTAATTAATATGACTTTATATTTCTCATAAATTTTGAAATTAAGATTGAGATACCTCATGTTTAAAATAAATTGTGCAATACAATGCAATTAATTTATATAATAATAAGGTACAAGGTAATAAATTCGATTAAAGTTAATAATGATCCTCTTAATGTAACAATTAATTCGTATTCTGATTGATATCATATTAATGTCATGTTAAATATAATTTGTAAATGAAATGTCGAAGCCGAGAGAGTCAAGATTTGTTTTTGTACCCGCTATCGCTCCATTTATCATTTATTGATTTAATCCGTTCTGATTTATTCACATTCATATTATTGCCTGTTTATTTCAAAAGGAAAGATTATGAGAATGATTATTTCTTTTACATATATAAATGTAAAATGTCGAATAAAAATTCATATACATTTATTCTACATTTTTCATCTGCTTTTCTATTTTAGATCTGTCTTAAAATTTATAAGAAAACAATTAAAACAGGCAACGAAAAAACAAATTAAAAATCTTTTCAATTCGAACAGAAAGCGATTCTCACTTTGATCTATTTTGATTTATAATGTGACCCATTTTTGTTCCTCTCAAAGTGTACTCATAATAATTCGTGTTAAATTTTAGAATTCTGCAACGAACTCAGCCTTTCAACCTCCAGGCAATAAAACCATATTTGGATAAGATCACGCCCATTTTCTATCAAATAACAAGAGCACCTATATATACGCAAGTATTACGTATTTGTTACACATATGACAGTGCTTATGTCAGAGAATTTGGAGAAAGTGTGTCCTTGACGAGTTCTACAATATCATGGTGAGTTTATATAAATGTATTATATATTATGAAAAAAAAACTTGTAAAGTGATTTGCGAAAAACACATTTTCTAATTGTTTTTATTAATTGACAAATCAAAGAAATAAATTTCACGTATTACATATATATTGTGATCATATCATATTGCATATCTATATAGCGGCAATTAATGTAGGAAATTGATCGAACTATGAAACAATTACAATTCTTAACATTACTGCTATGTTAATTTATTTATTAATTGTAAATAATATATACTTACACTATATAATAATATTGACTTACACTTTGTTGGAAATGCAGGAACAAAAACGAAACGAGATAAAAGTGAAACGAGTTAAAAGTAATTATTAAGCAGATAAGTGTCGCACCCTTGACGTTTTCTGACAAGCTGCTCTGTTTCAGATGCGCGATCTTAATTTCGTGGGGACCACGCCCGGAATTCGCCAATATTCCCCCTTCGAGCGACTATTCTACCTTTCCTTTACACCTTCGTATGCTCCTTTCTTAATGATTTCCCACAAAGAAATATACGTCTCCCTCTCCCATCGGCCATGCCCAATCACCTCGAACAAAGTAGTGCCCAAAATTCGATCGAAACCCCCTACAATCTTACACGGATATAAATAGTGGTCGACAGCTACCATTTCAGCAGAACTCAGTAGTTGCTCCACTTCAGACAAGCAGAATGGCATTCAAGGTAAGCATATATACATCAACAGATCCATGAGAAGATTTCATCGATATTTTAACAATGCAAACGCATTGAGCAACAAGCAGAATTTCAATTTCAAAATATTAAGAATCAAAGGAAACATAGAAAGCAAGATTCTGTGGGTAAATTTTTGATGATCAAGTCAGTATTTTTCTAGCTACAGATATCTATTTTATATCTTGCTTTTTATATTTATATTTTAATAAATATAATAAAATAATGTAGATAAATAGATGAGAGATAGATAAGCAGGTTTTAATAATTCGTTATTCTAGAACTGAACGTTACATTTCTACCAAAGATGATCTAGGCTGAATAACGCAGGAATTTTATAGAATTATTTGCTAAATTTACTTCTTCTCTCTCATATAAATTTTAATATATATATCATTAATGGTAATATTTTTTTATTTCAGTTCGTTATACTCGCAGCCTTCGTGGCAATGGCTAGCGCCGGCGGGCCGGCGGCCTACGACATTGGCACCCTGTCTGCCGACCTCAGCAGCATTGGCTACAGTCAGGAATCCACGCAGAAGGGCTACGCCGGCCAGAACGTGGTGTCCTCGTACAGCCGGGCCGAGGACTCCGCGCATTCGTCGGTACGCGTGAGCAACAGCCACGTGAGCAACGACGCCTTGCTGGAGCACGCCATCGGCTATGCCGCGCCAGCCTTGGCCAAGCCCCTGATCGCCGCACAGCCTGTCATCGCCAAAGCTGCTTACGCCGCACCGGCCTTGACGACATACGCCGCTCACCCTGCTCCGATACTCGCCAAAACCGCTTATGCCGCCGCGCCCGCTTACGGATACGCCGCCGCACCCGCTTACGGATACGCCGCCGCACCCGCTTACGGATACGCCGCCGCACCCTCGTACGGATACGCCGCTGCCGCGGCCGCCCCAGTTCTGGCCGCCAAGGCAGCTTACACCGCTGCACCCGCTGCCTACAGCTACGCCAGTCCGCTCATCGCCAAGACTTATGCCACCCCGCTCATCACTAAGACCGCCGCGTACACTTATTCCGCGCCGGCAACCCCCGTGATCGCCAAGACCGCTTACGCAGTTGCACCTGCAGCTACCTACGCCGCCGCTGCTCCGTTCATCACCAAGACCGCCTATGCCGCACCTGTTGCCGCTGCTCCAGTTTTGGCTAAAACCGCGATCGCCGCGGCGCCGGCTCTCGCATACACCGCTCATGCCGCACCGGCTCTCGCGTACTCCGCTCACAGCACACCGATAGTCGCCAAGACATATGCCGCCCCTTACTCTTATGAGACAGCCGCGCCCGTGGTACACGCCGCTTTCAGCGGTTTTGGCACCAGCTACGCCTGGTAAACGAATTGATGCATACTTAATGCATGTAAGCGGTTCGCCATGACAACGATTTTGGAGATTGTAGGTCTCTCGCGTCAGCGAGCTCCTCAATGTTACCGTATTCCCTTTGGTACATGCAAAAGCTTTACATAGGTGTGTATATAATATATATATAGTAATATTTATATTTATACTTCACTGTATTGTATGCATAAAACCCTTCAAAATAACAGAATATACGCAACATATTTTGAAATACATTTTTATACCAAGAGTTTTTCCAGATTAGCAGTAAATAGAAATTTTATTGTATTAGATTTGAATAAAATGTGCTTGTTATACTATGATGGAAATATCTACATCTTTATTGTGATCTAATTTATATATATATATATGTATGTATATGAAATACAATAATTTGTGTTAATCGCATCACTTCTTGTGCTAATAAATAATAGTTTAAAGAATTAATATATAAAATTTACTGTAATTTTTTAAGTGTTGAAAAAATATTGGAAAAAAAGTATTTAAAAAACTATTTTTCATATGATTAAATGTGCTTTTGAAAGCTTCAATTAATACTTTTTGCGAAATCGACATTTCCTTATCCATTTATGTTGCGATGTATTATCTATTTTTATCTATGTCCTATTTATATCTATTCCTCATTTACATAAGAATATCGTTAATTTAGGACAATTGAAAGAAAGTCACACACCTACGCAATTGAGCTACAAGCACAAAGCCTAGGATACAATGATTGATAGAAAGTGTTTCAGCGGATTGAATAGATATGTGTCACCTAATTTCCAGTTGAAATTATATTTGCATACAATGGATAATCGAAGTGTACCGATCATTTCACGACATCATTGAAGCCAGTAGCGAACAACTTTCACGTAAGACCGGTTTCCTGCAATTTCGGAACGGTTGAGATGATGAAACAAAATTCACTTTTGTTAATTGCAGATATAAGCAACTTCGCAACTAATTTGTAAGAAGAGATTGTATTTTTGTTCAAATCTATATTGAAAAATTTTTCAGAAAACCGACTTCAAAAGATAGCTGGATAGAATTATTGCTTTGTGAAAGAATTTCCATTTATTGGCAATTTATTGGTTTCATAACATAACCATTGTGCGCAAGTACTTGTTTACATCAGTCGACCGCAGATATCACGAAATTGGCGGGAAACAGAGTCGAGAGTTTAGATCAGCTGATCTAATAGTACGTGCTAGAAGAGATATGTTTCAACCGAAATAACAATAGAATGACGATAATCGTGTGAATTGTTTGTCATACAAAGTCATATGTGAAATCGGCACGACAATCATTGAAATGGATCCGATCAGTCCAAAAAAATTTTACGGCAGTAAGGTGAAGAAGCAAAAACCGGAATCTAACATTAATTGGGTGAAAACATATCAGGTCATGCCGTCACATATATTGGGCCCGACGCAATTTTGGCAGGAATTTTACAAGCAGGCGGATGCATTGGCTGCAGCTGCCAAACATAGCACTAAAACGGACACACTTTGTACTTTTGTGTATCAACAGCCCAAGGACGGTAGTCGCAAATTCGTCGTCGCACACCCAGAGGTGTATTGGTGGTATTATAAAATCAAACCACCAAAAGAGAGATGTTCATACGAGGTGAGTATGCTTTCACTTATGTTAAAAAATAGAATAAGAATCACTAAAATTTAAGATTATTAATGTGTTAATGCATAATATTATATATATATATATATATGTACTTGTACTGCTTATATCAATATCAATTTCTAAATTGATTACAAATCTTAAAATAAATAAGGATTTCTAAGTGCCTTTGTAATGTATGCAAAATTTGCAGAAAGTTATAATTTCAACAGATAATACCAAAGGATTCGCCATGCTGGTTGTACCTGGACTTAGAATATCCAATCGAACAAAATCCACTTTGCAATGGATCACGCATGACTGAGACACTGATAGATATCTTACGTGCATATTTACTTAATCATTATTACTTGTCATGTAGTAGAAGTAACTTTTTAATATTGGATTCCACGTCCAGTAAAAAATTCAGCAGACATGTAATTTTTACTATAAAGGATATGGCTTTTAAGGATAACTTGCACGTTGGAAAATTTATCAAAACTATATACAATGACATCATGCTGCATTTAAAGTCAAATCAAATACATGGAATTTTAAGTCATTTTAACAAAGTAGATTTGGAAGAAATGCTGGTGGAGACAAATCGTGAAAAAAAGTTATTTATTGACACTGGTGTCTATACAAAGAATAGACATTTTAGGATATATCTGTCCACTAAATGGGGAAAACAATCATTTTTAACAGTTTCTGCAGATAACGTACATATTCCAGTGAATAAATGCAAAGATAAGGAATTAGGAATTTTTTTAGATTCCTTAATATCATACTTCCCAAACAAACAAAATTTAATTCTACTCGAGTTTTCTAATCGGAGCGACGTAAAAGTTCAACTATACACAAAAATACCACAATCCATTCGTCAGAATGATGAGCAAGCATCACCATATCCTGAAATAGACAACTATATTCGTAGTCTTGTTGATCCTGGCAAGATACGCGTCACTAAATATTCAGAAAAAACTAAAACGCTAAGATATGAAATTTTTGGTAACAGGTAATATAATTGCAACGAGACAATCAGATAATTATTAATATTTATTTTTCTATATGTACATCCATCTTGCTACATAAAAAAATAATACAATACTATTTTTTACAGATACTGTGAAAACATTGGTAGATGCCATAAAAGCAATAACGTATATTGGATTGTGGATTTGAACAAGAAAGAAATATACCAGAAATGTCACGATGAAGATTGCTCGGGTTTTTTATCTACACCAAAGAGTTTACCAGAAGAAATTATTTTTAAGTTGGACACAGAAGGCGATACTCTTATATCTTGCGCAGTAATAGATGAAAACTTTGTATAGAAAAAGATTTAAAAACTATTGAATGCTGTAAATATAAATATAATTTGTATAAAAATATTTATATACAAATGCTTTTATTTTTCAATAAATTTATTTTTTAGCATGCTTTCTTGTAATAATAATGCCCTTTAACAAATTATATATTAATATAAACAACTGATAAAAAATCATATTTTGTATAAAATAGAAATAGAACATTGAAATGAACAATTTTAACAACATGTAATTAGAATATATAATTCATTTACATTATTACATTAACGAAAAAATGATTATCTTCTACGCTGATTCCTTATATGAATTGAATAGTGTAAGAAGACTAGCCTGCATATATATTATATAATGTATTTACATTGTGGTATATATTTTACATATATAACTATATGAATAATACATAATTATATTTTAGTTGATTTATGTTTGAGAATACTATGAATTCTGCTTACTTTTTACAGATCCACATAAATTGTTAAATCCAAACAACTTTCAGTTCATGTTTCCATTGTGATTTAAAACTAACTACATTATGTTTGCTCTCTTATTGCAGTTCACAACAGATAATATGAATATGCGATGAATGAGCAGACTAAAATCAATGACGCATCTGATCAGTCCCACTCACTGTTTACTTGGTATTATTCCTTTTTCTAATAAAAAGTGAAAACTTATTGTTTGAAAGAAAATGCGAAGTTTGTCATATTCGTTCTGCTACATATAAAAGCACTATTTTTCCAATATACGTCAATGAAACATTATTTGTGTTCCACAGTATTATCATTCATGAATATGTTTTATGTTTTTACTGATAACATTATTCTTTGTATAGAAAATTACATTAAAATCTAACTAGTCAAAGTTACTCCATTAAATTCAAATGTCAAGTGTCCAAAGACGCAAATAATTTCGTGATGTAGAAATAATGTAGTAAACCTTGCTCTTCTTTGGGCGTAGAATTGATAGTGTCCTTGTTTTCAGCTACATCATTTTCTTGCTGCACATTAGTTATCAGATCTAAATTGTCAGTATCGTTGGTGGAATCGTCTTCTTCATCTTCATCTTCATAATCCCTCATTGATTTTTTATCGTTCTCTTCTACATCGACCTTGATTTGCTCTTTGGAAACATCCTCTTCAGATAACGGAAGATGATCACTATTCGATGCAGGTGCGTTTTGTGTCAATTTATATTTCTGATAATCCTTCGAGGCCTGCCTCATGCGAATTAAGAAATCTGGTAAACCTAAAATGAATATTGTAACTATTATTATGATATATTGGAAAAAGTTAGAGAGGTTAAAGGTTCTAAGGCATAAAATTGAATAAAATGTACATTTTAACATTAATGTACATTTTATTTTTATGCTTTAAAATCTTATATCTTATAATATTTGCTTAGAATTTTACTACAATGCATTAAAATCTTATATTCTATAATTTCTAGACCATTTCTTTGTTTCAAATATAAGATTTTAGTGCATTGTAGTAAAGAAAATGGAAATTCTAAATTGCTAGGCTTAATTCTTATAGTATAAAATAGTATAAGATTTTGTAGTTATATATAGAAAACATACCTCTCAGTGCTACCCATGTAGTAACAGCAGATGGCACATTGACACCAGGATCGTCGAAATAAGTGAGTCCAAATTCAATACCTGGCTCGTGGAATTCTGTGTAAGGTTTTATCACCATGTACGACCAATATGTTCTCACTCTGTTTATGTACAAATTTTATATTATTTTTTGACGAGAAAGAAGATTTGGCATTATTCTAATTTGACATTTAATTCTGCTAATATACTTAATAAACAAAATTATTCTATAAAAAAAATACAGAAATTAGAAAAGAAGATTGTTCAACTTAACGATATATACACATTTCAACATAATTTCTTGATTTATGCTAATTGTCTTTTATATACCTATAAATTCCCCGCCTTTCTGGTACATCAGGATGTTCCGTCACTCGGCTGACAATAACTACAAGTCTCTTCTCTCTGTCTACGACCCATCGTCGTTGATACACATAATCTCTATTTGAAAATAATTTCTGCACAACGTAAATTAATCGATTAATAAAGACTTATTCCAAAGTGGGATAGTATATTATAACACTTACAGGCCAAATCATTTCCCAGTGAATAATATCAGTGCTGTTATTGGCAGATAATTCTGACTTGGGATCAGTCTCAATAATCTGCAACTCCTGAGCAGTAGGATCCCATTGTTTTCTATAATCTACATCGATTTGTACTTGTAGGAAATCGTCGGCGGTGACATCGGAGAACGAACCGTATACTTTGTACGCAAATAATCCTCCGGAATCAGGTTCTTGTTTTCGCCATATCAACATGTCTTGACGCTCGATGAAAGGTTGCCAACTATCTGCTATATTTCATATATTATATACAAATTAGGTATGTGTAATGCAAGGTTAAAAGCAGAAAATACATGACAAAAGACAAATTAATGTTGGATAGTTGATACAACAAGAAACTTACGATCATCATTAGAAGAAGCAAAAGACTGACATGAACATTTACAATATTTTACATCAGGCTGTACAACATCAATAACAATTCGCAGATGGCATTTTGCACAAATCACTGTAGAGTCTCGCAATCGGTAAATTCCTTCAATTTCGTTGTTGTATCTGCAAGATAAAAAGGAAATTATTTCAACAATGTCACAAATATATATCTCATTGTCACGAATTTTTAGCCACAGTTACCTATTAATTTCTTCGTCATTTATTCTATCGCGATCCCAATTGTACATAGACACACCGGCTGCACTAATTAAAAAATTCTTGGCATTCTTGGCGACCCTTAGTCTCCATGACCTCATAAATTCCCTCAATGCCACCTCATCCCATATTCTTGTGTAGAGGTGAAATATCTGTATATATCTCCTGATACGCTGGGCAGCTACGAACTCAAATTGTCGTTTGCAGGCCTGAGCTACCTGCGTGCTTTGTTCCCGAAACCACAAGCTTATTCTCTTGCGATAGCCATTGAATTTACCACTTTGCGATTTGGAACTCCAATGCTCCAAAACGAGTGCTAACCTACCATTGCCGTGACTGTAACTGGTGTTAAAACGTTTGAGAGTATGACCGGTTATTTTCCACATGTACATCGCTTTCAACGATATGTCATGTATTTTCCACAGAACGCAATTAGTTCATTCACTTTTATTCAGGACGTCGGATTTTCTTACAGATAACCTCGGACTGCGCCGATACTACGTAACACCTCGCACCGGTCTGGGCTTTTCATTCACGCTACCGATTAAACTGCGCACAAATTACGTAAAACGCATCTTTGTCTGACAATAATTTATACCCAATCAGCTGTTGTAAAATCAATTGCAAATTCTGATCATCGTCCGCACAATTGCGGATACATAACAAATAGAAAGAACGACGAAGAGACGAAGATAAAACAGATGTGCGCGAGCATGTGTTTCTGTTCCATTTCATCTTAGGGTATAAAAAAACACGAACAGAGTTCGTGCGCGTTTAAAGAAGGATACAGTTGTCTGTCTTGTTGTCTTGTAGATTTTGAATATTTAAGAAGGAAGATTGGTTCTATTAGTTGTTCTTGAATAAAGAGAAGATGAAACGAAAAAATTATACCACAATCCATTTCGGAAAAATAGAAGAAAAAATATTTTACTTCACCGACGTTATTTAGCGCCAACAAAATGCGCGCCAACAAAATGCTGTTGAGGACACATGGCCGTAATTACATTTTTCATATTTATTAAATGAGTCCAGAAATATATCATAACAGTAACATCCATCCATCATAACGGTAACAGTAATTGTGTACACATTAAAAATGTTTTATTTATCTGAAAATTTAATTAAAAGAACACATCTGCCAAATCTTATGATTAATGTAGATCAAACGAAATTTATGTACACAGCGCAACTAAAATATTTAATGAAAAATATATAAATATTATAATTGCCGAATTTTTTTACAAGTAATATAATATTTAAAATTTTACTAGTAATATAAAAGTCATTATATAGAAAATTTATTTAATGTAGAAAAGTATAAAATTTTTCAATTTTGTTTAAATCTATCTACATATAAATTTAATGTAAATTATAGCAATTAAATAAACTACAATTGTGTAACGTTAGACATGTTATCTATATTTTTCTAAGATTAGCTTTTTACAGTATAAACTATTAACTTGCATGTTTTATTTATTTTTATTTACATGTTAATAAAGTTAGTACTATAAGTCACTATTATCAAGCACTTCTTCATTGTTTTCACATATCGTGATTAACAAGTGATATTTATATAATTGATAGCATATAAAAGTAGATTAGATCAATTATTTGCTCCTTAAAAGTCGGTCTTCCGGTTACACGAACAAACAATACACACCGTTTTTATTTCTTCGAAAACAAAACTCAACAATAATGAACAAAAAAATACCAATATCAATTTTCTTAAAAAATTATTGAGTCGATTATTCAGATGCACTCGTGCACGAAAAAATAATTTTTTTTTAATACTTATATTTTAAATCTCGTATCTAATTTTAAAATATCTTCACTGAACAATTTGTCACTCAATTTCTGTTTCCGTAAAAACACGGAAACACAACTTGCGTCACACTCAAATGCGATGATAACAAAAAGGTGAGGCGCAAATGTCATCATGGGCAAGCATTTTTCCATACGAAATTAGTACTGATAAGAAAACTTATATGCAATGGTATACGTCAATGTTGCTCGTGAAAAATCGTTAATATTATTAGTTCTACTTATTGTTAGCTGCTTTCCGAACTTGCTTTACAAGCTCGCTTCGAATGCAAACTTAAGCAAACGTAATTACATATTTTTATTGAAACAAAATAAAAAATAAATTAAATAAAGCTCGGAACAAAATAAATTTTTGATTCGCCATTTAAGTGCATTACTGCAAGTAGAAATATTTCGGTGTCTATTTCGAAAATCATTTGCCACTTTCATTACGCACGGCATCAATTTACATCGGCTAGGATGTCAGGTTGTCAAAAGATTGTATCGAACTAATTATTTCTACCGATGACTGACTAAAGAAGAACAATAAAAAGGAACACGACACCACGGCAAAGTGGCTGTCCGGAAGAAATTGCAACAAAGCAAGAGACAGAAAGGAAATACAACAAGTGTTGATACTTTTGATCTGACATTGTTTTAAAAATGAAGATATCAATTCTCGTTCTCACTCTAGTAGTGATTTACGGAACCTGCAGGATCTATGCTGAAGAAAGCACCGACTTGAAAAAAGAAGAACCAAGTAAGTTGTGTGTAACAATGCAATTGCAATTAAAAATATTTTAGCTTTTGACGGAATTACTTTTTTGCGGATAGATAATGCTACAGATAGAAGAGACAATATTTTTTCTGTTTCTCAAACAATATTTTTGCATATACGTTTTTTTAAATTAAATAAAATTGTCATCTATCTAGCAGAACCAATAACTATTTTTAATACATCCCGATATAGATAATATACATAACATATTTTATTTTCAGATGTCGGGAATCACTTATTGAACTTTCCAAATACTCCTTTGGAAAAATCTTTCTCAAGAAATAAAAGAACCATTTCATTATTACCGAATGGCGTTAAAATAATGTTAAAATTAGTAAAGCTTGTTAATAATTCTATAATCAAAGGTATATCAGATGTCGCCGGCTTTGTGTTTGGCGCACTAACTGGACAAAGTGTGTGTTCTAAGGCAGAAAAATTATCTTTGGACTTAATCGATAAAATAATATTGCAGCCAATCCAAACGACCAAAACTATAATATGCTACATCCTCCACGAAATTGGAAGTAAAAGCTTTGCATTAATAAACAAATCACTTGAAGTTTTAATCAATGTTAGCTCGAAATTCTTAAAAACACTTTTACCAATAGTGCATAAAGTACTCAATATTTTGTTAAAAACTGGCATGTTACCCCCAAGCCTCGCAGGACTTGTTGTTGCGTTTAATGTGCTTTACAAGTTTTTACAGATAATTGGATATATTTCCTGAACCTGTGATGTGTTTAATCTTCCATGTTCAAAAACAAGTTAAACAATGCAAAGCTGGAATGCAACATTAATAAATATGTATTTAATCTTTTACTTTAAAAGTTTACATATAAAGAAAAAATAAGATTAGTTGACGAAGTCTGTGATGTTAAAAATTATTATGCAAAATTGTTACAGATAAAACTGTGAATTGTCTGAATAGCTTAAATAATTTGAGTGATACTTGTGCAATTCACATTTTGCCATATTACATTACAAATAGTAATACTATAAATTATATATTCTTTATAAGAAAGAATATTGTATCGAAATTTTATTCTTTGTGTCCGATAGAAAAACTAATAAAATAATTGGATTAATGATAAAAATATTTTATTTTCGTATGTTTTATATATTTACACATACCCAAATAGCCAAACGTTAACAATTAATTTTAATTTAAGCACTTTTAGTAAGAGTCGTCTTCATCGTCTGTGTATTCATCTTTGTCCAAAATTTTTGAAACCTCTTCTTCATGTTCATCGATTTCATTTTCTGATAAATGAGATTCTCCTTCCATAAATTTCGCAAACCTAAAAAAAAAATGTACATCTATATTGTTACTAAGAAACTTTTACTTATATAATATATGTATATTGCGGTGTTATAGACAAGTCTCAACCTTATAGGATCTTTCAGTTTTAACATCGTTTTCCAAGGTTTACATTCGGGACTAGAACAATAGTTCTGCAATTCTTTTAAAGCTTTCCTAGTCTGCCGTATTCCTTCTTCACGATATTGATCATCATTTAACAATTTTCGTTTTTCAGGAAAAATGTTTCTCCTCATTTAAAAAGAGAAAAAAAAGAGTCAATATTACCATTTTTGTTATAATTAACACACACATACACACACAAGAAATAATGTATATACATATCTTTTTTTGAAATAAATTAAAATAGATAAAAAAAGCATTCGTGAACAAATAAGTATACTGCTATTTAACACATTAAATATTTGGAAAATTTCAAAAATCCAATAATATTAAAATAAATGTAGGTTATTACATATGCGATGTACCTATAATACGTTTACATTGCTTATATGCTAATAAAACTTATAATTCTGTTCGTAAATAAAATATAGAAATGACACAATAATGTACAACCAATTCTTATGTTTTTTAAATAAATAACAAATAAAAACGTGCCATACATTTTATTACAAACTAAAAGTACAATTTGCGTTAATACATTATATAAAAAGTATTTAAAAATTGCTTAAATGTAGAATGTAAAATTTGATTTAACATCAAATAATTGAAATAAACACGTTAAGAGAATTAAAAATATACAACTTTCAAAATCTACTATACTAAGATCCTAAGTTATATCTAAATTTATGTATTGATTAAAAAGCAACGCTTTTAAAGCACACAATTTACTAACAATTTTAAATATGTAAATGTAACAATAAAATATAAGAAAACATAGATATTAAAAAAAAAAGAAAACGCAACATAAAGAGAAAAAGTGCACAATGGATTTGAGCTCATTCACACAGTAAATCTAGAAAAGGCAAAACATGCAATTATATCATTTTATACTATTTTAGTTTTATGTAACATATGATTACAGCTGTCTGCAAGACATTGACTACTAATATTGCAGATCATCCTATATGCTTACCAATATTTTTTTCCTCTTTCAAATATTGCTTTAGAATAATTATAAAGAAGTATGAATACAAAGCAAGATGAAAAAGATGCTTCGTAAAAGTGACTGCTTTTATATATTAATATCAATCCCACAAGCTATATAAACATAAAACCAATTTATGACAATATAAATTTAAAAAAAATATGATATAATATAGTTTTTTTCTCACCTGTAAAAACCACTGTATTATTTGTTTTGTTCTTGGATTGGTAACTGGACCAAAACGATAGCATATTATGAAACTAATCGTAGATGTAAACAGAATATACCATATCAGCCATTCTTTATATTGAACTAGAATTAATTGTGCATTGTCCCACAGCATTTGAGCAAGATAAACACTCATTGATACAGAAATCATTATGTACATAACTTTTCCCTTAAAGACAGAAATATTTATAAGATACTTTATCAAAAATTATTCTAGTCGAATACAGTATTATGTTAAAACTAGTTACCCGTGGTATTAATTTTCCTGCCATATATATCAAAATTACAAGAGATAGAGTCACTCCACAAGTTATGCCACAAGTATAGTAAAATAAAGAATTCCGACTTAATCTCCGCGCAAACCAGAAAATTATGATACCTATTATCATCATTGTCAAACTCCAAACATCGATACCTAGTAATGAGTAATTGCCATATATATTACTGATTATAATACATAAAAAGAAACAACTTATAATTTAAATACTCACGTGTTTCTTCAAGAGTTATTATGTATTCAGACTCAATGGGAGTATCTATGTAAATTCCTATACATGTATTTTCAAAGGGATTAATTCTTAATTGCTTATGTTTTCCAGTATCAAACCAGTTAAAGTTCCATGATCTCTTATTTTCATCATGCTTTTGATGAATTTCCTGAGGTGTTTTGCCGTCGTATAAAACATAGGAGTTCGTATTGATGTTCAAATGCATCTATAATATAATGATTATATTATAAATATGTCAAAATTACATAGATATTATGTTATTTTAAAACTGTCGTACAGTCATAGTTCTCCATATTTGTGTTAAGTACTTTGTATTAGCATTATAGCAATATGTTTTTAATCCAGGGCCATTATTCTCCACAATATCACCTGCATGTAAAAAAAAGTGTGGTCCTGAAACATTACATCAAATAAATATATATATGCATATAAAAATGTATTGCCTCTTTTTAAATAACGTACAAAAAATTAATGTCCATACAGTAAAAAATTAGTTGCATGAAATAAAATTAGTTTCAGAAAATAAAGTTTATAGTATTCTTTTTTCTTGTTAATTAATATCAAAAGTTATATTAAAAAAAATGTTTGATTAATTTTAACTTAGTAATAAAAAAATATTAAATATTAATAAAAGTATAAATACAGTAGAAAAATTATCTTTTTAAATCAAGGTTATTACTGCATATTCTCGAATCAATTGAATAAATATATTATAATTAAATTATTATATATACGCTGATAAAAAAATGATAAAGAATGATAATGATAATGACAAAAAAAAACTTGATAAGAAAACCGTACATTCCATTCGAAAAATATTACCGACAACACATTTTTGTTATAGAATACAAATAGAACGCTGTTTTTTTGGGGCAATTTGAATATATGTTTGTTATAAAAGTTGTAATTCGATCGAAATTAATTTATCTCTTAGGTTAAGTATAAGTAACCACAATTTATTCGAACTTACTTGAGTCTTCGAGAATACGCCTTGTGGCCACGCATTGAGATAGAGAGAAATATATGAATATCCATTTTATCGGTTCGGTTGCTTTATGCATTTTTCTAATAATACTATACTAATTTACTCCACACATGTATCATCACACTTGCTACACATTACCGGTCCCAGTCGTCCCAGTAGTAACTGATGATAAAAAATTTGAAATCATGCGATGTAAACAATAATCGTATCGTACGTATCGAGTTATCGCAATCTCGAATTTCACGTGCGTGTGGAGCAAGGCGCCTTATTTGAACTCATGTAGCAATATTGATTAAAGGTAGAGATACGTGACCTAATGAACTCACTGACGTCACGTGAAGAGCCGTCGGCTCTGATGTCCTTCAATGCCTTCGATATACAGTGCTTCCATATTGATATTTAGTTCCACTTTGTTCTGCCAAGCTTCAAAGAGCGCCACAAACGGCGGTTGTCTAAAATACACAGTAGTTTGCTGGACTCGAATAATGTCTAGTCGATGACCACGAGAAAAGCGCTAGACAGCCATATTAGAAGCAGACCGTGACTGTAGACATCAAATATCTTCTATCCCGTAGGCTTTATTCCCACGATATTATGCTCCGTCGTACTGTATTCTTGTGTCCACGATAAGTGCACATCTCGTAGGTGTTTTGTGCTTGCAAATCGTTCTGTGCGTTTCCTCCGTTTACTGCACACTGTTTCTGACAAATCTGAAAATGAGGTTTCTTTCTTAATTTAACTAGGAAGTCGCGTGCGAGAGTTAATTGCGTTGCTAACGTGTTCGCATAACGTGCCGGAAAAAAAGAGTATGTTTCTCGATCGGAGGTTACGAGAATCGCAATGATTTAATGGTGAAAATGACATAAATCTGTGCGAGTGCATATTTCTGTGTAAAAGTGGAAGAGAGAAAGCAAACAAGAGACAGAGGGAGAGAGAAGGAGAAAGAGAGAAAGGAAGAGAGATGTGTCGGTGGATAAATTACTACAATTTGCTTAATAGCTAATAGACTCAAAATTACTGGTATGCTTTTACGATTCGCTCACGATGTCCGCATATGCGACGATACTGCCTCTTATCTTCTTGGGATTATTAGGTAATATATATATAATGATGTTTTTTTAAGTGCAGCAAAAGTTCTATTTTCAATTTTAATTCAAGCTTTTATTCAGAAGACGTACAACTTAAAAAATTGCAGAAATTTACTCAGAGGAAGTGAAAGAAAGCTTTATAAATTATCACTAGTTGCATTGAAGAGTCTTAGCTCAACTAATCCAAACTTCAATACAAGCTAGAATCAAAGTTTTCAGTTTTCTAAATTTTTGTTTTAGATTTACACGTGTGGATACGTGTCCGTATCATTATCCTTTATCAAACTTGTCTTCTATTTTAATTTTATAAAGTTGGAGTATACTCTCAGTAATAATTTGTTATTGTTATTGTTTTTCTTCACACATATATAGACTGTAGATAAACAAATTTTACTCAAATAATTTAGCGATAATTTCAGATTTTTCCTAATTGAATTTATTTAAACACTGATAAAATTCTATGGATTAAATTTTCTGTAATTTTAATATATAAATCAATTATAATGGCAGTTACATGCTTATATCTTATAAATATTAAATTGCAAAATATTTTGAAGAAAACTTATTCCAATTTTTGATAGAGAATACTATGATGTAACATTCCTTCACATTTATCATCTTTATATATAAACTAATAAATCATATTTATTGGCAACTGATTTTTTTATCAATTTATAGATAATTCAATTCCTAATCATATAAATTTGCTAAATGGCATATATATATATAAAAAACCCTATATTTATTATCGTTCTTTTCAATTATATACATCAAGTTAAAAACTGAGAAATGCTGCTGTTGAGTCAATTACTTTTTTTAAATTAATTAAATAAATTAGTTTTGACTCTCATTGCTCTTTCTATAAGTATTTGTTTTACAACTAAATAGATATATAAACAAAATTTTTAAGATATTGAAAATCAAAAATTATACTGAGACGCTTTTAAAAACTACTAACGCATAACTGTTAAATTAATAACTGATAAAAATTACTTTATTAAAAAAATTAAAAGATAAAAAAATAGCAACATTTATATGAAGTTTTGCATATCAAACGTACAAAAGTAAAATATTTAATTTTATTTATTATTGTTTATGTTAAATGTTCATATTAAATGAGAGAAAATATAAAGTTTTAATCAATTATTTTAGGAACGGTATTTGGGAAAGATGTTAAAGGTTCAGCCTTTTGCGAATTTTATAATGAAACAACATGTATAGAATCCCAACAAGGATGTTCGGGAACAGAAGAATGTGTTGTACATGATCCTGATAAGCGTAATCATTGTTATGTGCTATGGACAATTGACAGTGCTACTAAAAAGACAACAATTAAATTGAAGGTTAGTTATTTCATTAATAATTCATGATGTATAATTTATTATATACAATTTTGTAAAACACTGCAGATCTTGCAAGAGATTTTCGGAGAGGAAAGGCTATGACTGAATATATTTTTTATATAACATGTATGATTTATTTTCAGGGTTGCTTTCTAGATAGCAATGATTGTTATGATAAACCGCATTGTATAGAGGAGAATCCGGAAAGAAAACAGGAATTATATTTTTGTTGCTGCGATGGTAATATGTGTAACCAAAATTTTTCGTTGAATCCACATCCAACTTCATCCTCTAAGCCTACACAACCATCTATTATTCGTGGTAACTTTATTTAATTATGTGTTATTTTTATTTAAAAATAAATTTATCAATATTTTTCTAATTTATTTAAATTATTAATTTTTCAGATTCTGAACCTGTGCCCAATATGGAACAACAAGCAATAACAATTGCTTTATTAATATCAATTCCTATACTTCTCACTGTTAGTTCACTTTTTCTGTGGTGGTTCTGCCGTCGCCGGAAATTGGGTTATTTTAATGAGGTTGTATATTATACAATTATTACAGAATTACAAAATGTAGCATTTAACTTACGAAATTAATGTAAATCTTCTAGGTGCCAACACTGGAACCTCTCCCGTTGCCACAACCTTCTCCTAATCTAGGTTTACGCCCAATACAGCTTCTTGAGATTAAAGCTCGAGGTCGTTTTGGAGCAGTTTGGAAAGCCCAACTGAAAAATGATATCGTAGCAGTTAAAGTTTTTCCTGTTCAAGACAAGCAATCTTGGCAAACTGAACAAGAGATTTTCAAACTTGCACATATGGATCACGAAGACATATTACGTTTTATAGGTGTTGAAAAACGTGGAGATAATTTACAAACTGAGTTTTGGTTGATCACAGCGTATCATGAAAAAGGTTCGCTATGCGATCACTTGAAAGCAAACGTTGTAACATGGCCTGAGATGTGTAGAATTGCAGAGTCTATGGCAAGGTAATCACATAATTTATAATAATCTTGAAAAAATGTAATTTGTTTCAAAAAATATAAGATTGTATATAAATCACACATAAGATAATATTTTCATTGAGCATTAAGCAATTTTTCATTTAATTAATAAAAAAATTATTATTGTCAGAGGTTTAATGCATCTACATGAGGAGATTCCAGCTAATAAAGCAGATGGTTATAAACCAGCTGTAGCTCACAGAGATTTCAAGTCAAAAAATGTTTTGCTGAAAGCTGACATGAGTGCCTGTATAGCAGATTTTGGCTTGGCACTTGTTTTTCATCCAGGAAAACCTTGCGGCGATACACATGGACAAGTAATACATATATATCATTCTTCATATTCTTTATTATGATACGAAGATAACTATTTTGCTTCTCACAGGTTGGAACACGAAGATACATGGCACCAGAAGTTTTAGAAGGGGCAATAAATTTTACTAGAGATTCATTTTTACGGATTGATATGTATGCTTGTGGACTAGTGCTATGGGAATTAGCTTCAAGATGTACTGTACAAGACGTATGTAATATTATATATTATGTGTATCTTACAAATGGCATAATGTACATTTTATTCCTTTTTATGTTTTAGAATCTTTTATCATATTTAATGGGATTAGAATTTTGAAATATAAAATTGTAATGCATCGCAGTAAAACTCTAGGCCTAACAACTGACATGATATAAAGATTCTAAACTATAAAAATGAATAAAATGTACATTAATGTTAAAATGTACATTTTATATATCTTTATGCCTCGGAATGCCTTAGAATCTTATATAACATTTGGTAGGCTTAGAATTTTACTGCGATGTATTGAAATCTTGTATTTTGTGGTGTGCGCAATGTTATATTCTAGTTATAATAAATTAGAAAATATAAGTTAAAGGCACTTTAAAAATTACTAATTGTTTTTCTTATTCTAATATTAGGGACCAATAGGAGAATATCGACTACCATTCGAAGACGAAGTCGGTCTACATCCTACTCTAGAAGACATGCAAGAAAGCGTTGTTCATAAGAAAGAGAGACCGCTCATCTTAGAAACTTGGCGCAAACATCCGGTAAGTTAAAAATTATAAAAAAGACATTTTATTTTTTTTAATCCTTTTAATATTTAATATCGATAAATAATTGAGAAACTCGATAACGCATATATATATATTGAGTGACTCATTTCATATCATTAAGATCTTTTTTTGGAATAGAAAAAAGATCACCCGAGATAATAATCAATTTTGTGATATGTTAAAATATTAAAGTGTACAAAGAAATTTGCGAAATATTTGTAGATATGTTTTTTTGGACTTTATAAGATTTTTATCATATTGTTTATGTGATTAAAAATTCGTATAAAATCTGTAGGACGTAGATAAAAACATTTTTTCCTATTTTGATATTTTCATAAAGTCTAATAGTTTTAAAGTCAATCTGCTCTATATATACGTGAAAAAATAAAATTAAAAAAGAAGGATTATAGCTGTAACTGAAATACGTGTTATTTCAGGGACTTTTATCAATTTGTGATACTATGGAGGAATGTTGGGATCACGATGCCGAAGCACGCCTCTCCGCCTCGTGCGTTGTGGAACGAGTTGCTACCCTTAGTAGGACTCTTGTATTAAATTCATCTACTTTGATTCGAGTTGATAACACCAACGAGATTATTACTACCAAGGAGTCTAGTATGTAGTTAGCGTCTATATATTGCACTAGTCTACAAAATTCAAAAAGTTTTCAGGAACAGAGGGTAAATAGCATGGCTTTTACTAATTTGGACATGCTGATATCATCAGTTTTTTCCCATCACGTATAATCTTTTAGCTTACGTATTAAAGTTTTTGGATTTAAATTTTTCAATATATAATATTATTTTACTAGTATATAAATATATATACATTATATTATACATAAATTATACACTTTATTTAGGGGAAAGTGTAAGACGGACGGTTAGGGGTAAGACGAACTCCCAAAGCGAAAATGGTCATATTTTTTATATTAATGGCAAAAAATAGCTGAAATTTAGAATAAAAAACTTTAGAATGTTTATTATAAGATCATAATGTTAAATTTTCAAAACTTGCAAAAGTTTGAATTATTATTAAGATTTTTATAAAACTTTTTTAGCTGTATTAAAATTATTTTTTAAATGTAATTTAATGGTTAGATATTACTTCCAAATAATCAGAAACAAGAAACTTTTAGAAAAATTTAAAAATATTAAATTTTGCATCTTAGCCACTCAAAATGCAAACTAAGAAATTAAATCACCAGATCTATTTACAAGAATTTGACATTTCTTTATAAATAACTATATATTATAAATATATTCATAATATATATTCATATATGTATAATATATGAAATATATTTGCTTATTAAAGTACCTAAATACTGGCCTAATTGCCTCTCAATTTTGAAAAAAAAAGAAGGATATCGATAATCTATTCAAAGATGGATAACTAAGACTGCTGGTTTCAGGTCCTGCAGCTCATTCAATTTAATAGAATTTATCATGCAGCCCATCTGTTCCGAAAACCCTGTTGACTAGTGTTGTTATAGCTTTAGTTGAATGGCACAACCATTTTTTGTATCATAATTTTGTTATACATATCAATGAGGAATGTTGAAACAATAGTAAAAAAAAGACAAGCATATATCTCTTCAATCTTACGTTTCACTATTGAATAATTATTAATTTCTCCTCTAACGCCATACAAATGCTCATTATATAGTTATGATGTCACATGACGTTGTCTTGAAGCTGTTAGTCCCTCGTTGCAACTATATTGGATTATTTTATATTACATTTATCGAACGTGAATGTTGATAAAATTATTTATTTCAATATTGTATATTGGGGAAGGAAAAAATTCGTACCATTTTGTGGCTTCTGACATCATAATCCCTCACACAGCGAGGGAGCCGAGAGCTCTAATTTGATAAATTTTCGTGTGAGCCATCTCTACTGCATTTTATCTTTTCCAGTGCCTTTTTTGTGCATTGGAAACAGGTTCATTAATGTTAAAATGTATTGAAAGAAGTTTACGTTTTCATTTTAACGAACAATATTGAAAGATAACGGTGTGAATAAAATATTACAAATAATTGCAAGGTAAACAAGAGTTAAATATAGTAAGAACGTAGTTATATATATCTGCCAAATTATATCACGCGATATTATATTTTATTGTATATATAAATTTCTCTTTTCTAAAAGCGCGTAAATAAAAGGTACGGTATTTCAATCTTTGTCAATCCTTGCAACAACTTGCAGATAACATTGCAAGGACGTATAAAACAATACTGCTTCCATTTAGCCATGAATTTGTGGATTATATACTTAGAACATTTGACAGAAATCTCTGGTATTGGATCGTACGCAGTGAGATCCAGAGTAATTATATATAAAAACCCAGCGGCGAATCTGCGACTTGTTAGCTACCCACACAGTAAAAAAGATCTGCAGGATCTCGTGAACATATCTTGCTAGGAAATCATAATATTTTTAAGAATGTATGAGAGAAAGAAAGAAAAAAAGAGAGAGAGAGAGCACGGAGGATATATCTGAAGTATATTTTTAAAATATACTAATATACCACTGCGCGCGCGGACCACATATATATTTCAAGAGACACGGTCGTGTCCCGTGCCAAGTCACGCGCAGTAAACGACGACGGACCCTATATCTAGACATGATCCGTCATATTCTACTGGTGTACATATATTTTTACTATAGTGCTCCCCTAAAATATTCTGTGATGTCATACGAATTTTCTGGATAATTTCCATAGACTTTTGACTGAAGCATTCTTTAAAAATATCCTATATCACACAGCACTTTGGAGAACTTGTTACTATAAACATTGTTTCATTGTATTTTAAAGAAAAACAGTGTGATATACATTTGGGACATTGGGGATGATTTTAATATATCTCGCAGATTTCCATTGCTGTATGGGTAGGTGGCTCTACAATGTAGATTTCTATATACAAAAAATCGAAACTTTTAACACACATTGAAATTATTTGATTGAAAATTGATTAGTTAAAGTTTTATGAATACTTTATCGTCTACTCTTGTATATAAATTTTTAATACATGAAAAAAAACACGAGTGAATATTTAAAATATTTCCACTAATCTTTTTGAAGCTTAAGATGTTCGATATGTTGAAAATAGATCCATTAATAAGAACTGCCATTCTCGATTATCAAACGAGAAATGTATCTTAGGAAGTACGATTTTTTTTTTGAAGTTAGAAAATCTGCAAAGCGACTGTATACGTGTTAATCAGTAATGTGCAGAAAAATTCTAGATGGGAAAAACAAGGAAAAATGCTTTAACGCTTTACAATCATTTGACACAAAAAAAAAACTTCCATTTCCGGCCACTATAGATCTAACAACATCATTATGATATGACATCGTTTCCTTCTTTGAGCTTTATAATATAACACGGTTCATTGATATTAGAAATACAATTTGTAAAGGAATTTCCTGCAGAAATAATATGAGATATTACAAAATCTTACTGCAGAATAATTTCACTCTTTCTACTTGAGTCGTTATTTTAAAAAACTACCTTATATATCGAGACTTTCTCTTGCTAGAGAAATTATTTGTTGTTACATTATTGTAATAAGCTGATTAAAAAATATCTTTTCTCACTATTCGACAATGACGCAGCTAGATATTAAAACATGAGTATTTTAAGTAAAAGTTAATGACGAATTCGGTTAAAAATACACTAATATTTCAGAAATGATTTTGCATCGTTCTGTTTGAAAGAAAAAAGAAGAAGCATTACATTAGCTTTCTTTGAACAAATAGTCTTATTTTATAAATAATTTGTATCTCTAAATATTCGAAAAATAGTTACGTACAGACACTTCTCTTAAAGCGCGCACAATGTATATACACATATGTATACGTAATATGTGCCACTCACATTCCTCATTGATCACTTATTGGAACCGTGCAGTAAATATATATCTCGATCACAAAGTATGCCAAATAAAATCCAGCGAAGCATTTTTCCTGTAAAGCCACGTCACGTATCATTATAAAATGGATAATATAATCTTATTATCAGGACTTTCGGACATCACCATTGCTTGTGCCTGAAGGAATGATTGTAAGACGATAAACACAATAGAGAGCTCTAGACAATGTTTACTTTTCGGAATTTGATCGGAAATAGTGTGCATAGTGGTGTTTAATCGTGTATAATGTATGACCGATTTCATCGGTTACCCTTCAGACACATAAGCGATGAGAATGTCCGTGTTCTGTTTATTACAAAGTACCTGGTAGATACAATCGAATTAACAGATTGAAACTTATTACGATTTTTTGCACGAGATAAAAACATCGTAATTAATTTGAATTTTATAAAGTGCTACGTTAAGTGTAACATTTATTTTACGGAGTAGAATACTAATCATGAATTTTACGTGGCTCTAATATGTTTATCTTACTTATTATTACTAATGTATATTTGATTTTACAAAGCGAGCAGCTTAATGTTATATTTAATATAAATATAGACTTTTGAACATTTTTTTTACCAGTAGGAGTAATTAATGCATATGTAATGCGATATAACACTAAGGGATAATGTAGAATGTAAATTATTCATATTTACCAGCAGCGTACACGCTGCAATTTATCGAAAGGAGCAATGATATAAGTGTTTTTATTCCAGAACCCAAAGCAACAGTTTCAATATAAATCTAATAAACACTAAATACCGGTTTTGTTTTTTCGCTCTTATATACATTTATTATATATTCTTAAGGTATAAGTAATCTTAATAAATTAATTTATACGCTTTTCTTCTTTTTTTTGCATTTATTTATAATTATACAAAGCGTTGATTCACATACCTTTATTTTGCTCTAGTCTGCGCTGTTCTCATAATGATGATCATCGTAAAAAAAGGCCTGATGCTCTTTCTTCAACGAAAGACGAATAAACCTTCGACCAATCTTCTGTGCCGCCTTACGAACGCTTCACCAAAGCTCTATCAATTCTGTGACAAGAAATTTAAGACGAACGCGTGATTCGATTTCCTAAGAAAACAAGAATTCGTTATATCGATGAATACGACTATTCACAGTGTTTCGTCAAACATTGTACGATTTATTAGTCTGACTGGGAAATTCTGTTCTCGACAAATCTCGCATATTATGCAACTCTTCACGAAACATTTTCATCTGAAAGCATTAAGATATATATATATATATGATAATGTATTTTTTTCAATAAGGTTCCTGTTTTTTTTTTATTGCAGCATCTATTAAATTATAAATCAGAGACAAGATATTAATTTTTTTTTCACGCAGATACGTTGAAATAAATTAGTTTTTCGTAGGCTATCACTTTTGTTCGAAAAATTTTCATACGATTTCTCATTTTTATCGCCATAATTGAATGTAATTGCGATCAAAAGCTCTAAATGATTGCTGATCTGCTTGGCATGTGTCATAAAAAGGTTTTTTAAGTAATTTTGGTGCGCGTGTCTTCGAACGCGATTAGGTCATTAATTTCTGTCGCTTCAAATCGCTGATAATTCAACGCACGCGACAGCATTAAGGGTCGTATAATAATACCAAATTTATCATCATTTATTTCCTGAATATGCGAGACAGCTCTAACATTTTGTGTGCGATAATATATATCGTATAGTCTTCAAGGCATAATTTAATTCCTTTATTCAAGTGATAAATTAGTACTACAACAAAATTCTTTTTTTTAGATCCGATAGCGCTTTATTAGCAATTATATATTCCACCCTTTCGCACACTCGAGTCAGCACTGCACCTAATCTAGCTGAGTTTACGTTTGTTTAAAACACGAACAGCTAATTAAAGTTGGGGCATGATAGTAACAGGATACAAAATTTTAAAGTTTTTGTATGCTCAGCGCTGATCAATTCTCATTCCCATTTCCCATTTGTTGATTTTTCTTTAAGAACGAAACGTTCTAATCATTTTAGATTACATGTTATTTCAGGGTATAGAGTGGTCTTCTTAAGATATATCCTTAAATGTTTTTTGTAGATAAAAATATAAAATCTTTTATTTCAAGATCAACAAAATTTATATAAAAAATTCAAATTTTTATTTTAGCATATGTCTACTGGAGATGTTTTGTGAATATTCTGTAATGATAATAAATAGGCGAAGGCATCGGATTTCATTTCAAGCTCTACGAATTGCGATCAAATTACGTAGAAAAATAGGAATAAAATATTCGAGGTAATGGAAAAAAAACTTATTCGGATTTGTGGCGCAGTATCACGCTTGAAGAAATTTTTTAAGAGGGTTGAAGGAAACACACAAAGTAGACGCCGCTTTATCAGCCGCGTGAATGAAAAAAAAAAACGAAGCTGCTATATCTCGATAACGCAAAATCACCGAGTTACGATCTGAATAATTGACGAAGTATTGAAAATCGATCAGGAAGTCGTTTGACAAATTATGAAAAATGATTTGGAAGAAAGCGCAACGATCGCTCGCGTCTTCCTAAATCTTGTTTCAAGTTTTTCAACAAAGAAACAGATCTGTAGCAATATACAGCTTATTCTCCAAATTTGGCGTCACAGTCGATTACTTCTTCTTTTCCAAAATCAGATTGTGCTGAAAAGAGAACCAGAATTTTAAGAATGTTTGAGGCCACTCAGACTAGCATAATCAACAAGCGAAAGAAGATTTTCAGTGAGGAATTTTCAGAACATTTTACAAGCATTTTTTATCCGTTGCACATCGTGCGGAAGGTCGTAACAATTATGCGAAGTATTAAAATCAAAATAAAATGTTTTATCACTTTTCATTGTCCGTTAATTAAATAACTTCACGCGTGTATGCACGCTGTCACCATCGGTGTCCATGCAAAGCAGTTAAACGCGGAATGTGAGGAAATTATACAATTTCCGGCCACATACTGGAAGGGTCTCAACCTTCTTTGTTCCGCATTTGATGCGTTCTCTGTTAGCGACGTGCACTTGACGTTCGTCCAGTTATCTGCTGGCATATAAGCACGTTTAAGTCCAATGCAATCTGGTTAGTCGACATGCTTTGATCTGACAAGATCACGTTCTGAATTGATAGACGAGATAAGAATTCAGACTGGCGCAATCTCCTGCGCAATTTTAAAATCACCGATGTGCTGCGGACCAACGGCATCGTAAGCGTAATTTAAGATGTCTCTATTGATTCGACATCGTTCAATTACGCCTAAAGACATATGTATTGTTTAATTATACTCAAAGACGCGCACCTGTAATTTTGCATATACGTATAGACGCGCGGAGCAAGAGACAAAGAAGGGGATTGAAGGATATGAAGATGAGGAGGGAGGCGTGGCGATGGGAGGCAAGGGAGGCCGAGCGGAGAACTAGGGACGGCGAGGGGGGTGGAAAGGTGGAAAAGGGTGGCGAGATGAAGGGTAAGGGGCGCATACGGGAGAGGGAGAGAGTAAGAGAGAAACCAAAAATGATCGGGATTTTAGGGGAGCAGAAGCGACGCGTTTATGCTCCGCACTCCGCCTTCTTCCCTGTGTGTCCGCATCATCGGCTCTCTCTTCTATTTCTAATCCTTGCCACCGCGACGATCGTGGCGGCGGTGGCGGCGGTGGTGGCGGCGGTGGTGGTGGTATGCCTTACCGCAAGCTCGCCTCTACCTTCGTTCATCCTTGTTCCACCGTCCGTGAGGCAACCGATCCCTCCCCTTCTACCCTTGCCCCCCCTCATTCCACACCCCTCTCTTAACGGGCTTTTCCCATACCACCCTCGGCGGATCGATGGTGACTCCTGCACCCCTCGTTGCACGGCGCTAGCGGCGTCTAAACGCCGCTCAGTCTGAACTCAGGGTTCACTCAGTCTACGAACGTTTGCCACGAGACTTCGATCTCTCCACCGCATCGCACACCGCTATCTCTGTCTCTCTCTTTTCTATCCACCCGCCTGTACCCGTCTCTCTCTCTCTCTTTCTCTCTCTGTCTCTCTCTCTCCACTTTTCCTTTTCCCCGCTCGCGCGGCCAGATAGAAAGCCAACGGTGGACCGGGGAGGCGCGCGTAGTAACCGTGCCGACGGTTCAGCGTCAACGGAGAGGTCCTGCCGTAGTTACCTCGTGCTCTTTCGGTTACTCCGGCCCCGTATAGTCACCGTGCAACCCCCGTTCGTCCGCTTCGACCGGCTGCGGATCTACCTGCGGCGCAGCGAGGTGAGTGGGCGACCTATCGCGCGCGTCTACCTTTATGCGTTAGTTTCTACTCGCGATTGTTAAAGCTCTTGCGAATTCGCGTCTGCCAATTTTGTGCAGATTTCCGAATGTATTTAAAGTTGTATTTGTCTTCGATCAAAGTTACGCGAAAGTTTTCAACATCTTCGGGAATTTATTTTCACCCTCTTTGCGCTCGAAGAATCTTTTTCTTTTCTACAAATAACGGAATTTCGTATATTTGATTGCAATATCCATAAGTTTTGAATGTATCTAGAAATCGCATTTTTCTCCTCACATTCAGAAATGTGAAAACTTACAGACGTTTAAATTTGTTCAGATTTTGCGCATATTTAGATACAAATTTAAGTATTTTTTAGAACACTTGGTTAAAATTTTTATTATTAAAATCTGTATAAATTTTGGCAATAAGAATTTAACAGTTATGTAAGTTTGAACGAATGTAAAGATAAATTTAGTTTTGAAATTATTGTAAAAAAAGCGCTGCAAGCGTTGATTATATTAAGTTGACTTCGAAATGAACTTGTTGAAATTTTTAATTGATTAATATAAACATAGTGGTCTTATTCTTATTACAATATTAAAGTGATCCAGCAAAGCAAAACTCTGGAAAATTCAGAAGTAAATTTATTTATTTATTTGTTGTGTATAATTATATTCTATATTATTCTGTAGAAGAATGTGCATGAAATTGTCTGGTCGACTAAAGATGATCTTAGACTGGAAGAAATACTGAAATTATCTTAAAAGTTATATTCTACATTTTTTTTAAAAACTGTTCACAATCTATGACTCTTGCTAATGGAAATATATATTATTCACGTTTAATTAATAATTACAATTTACGCAATTTGCGAACCTGCAGAGTGTCTATTCCCTGTAAAGAAAAGAGTAATTAATATATTAATTTAGTTCTTAATAGTCATTTCTATATTTTTTTATTAGAAAATAATAATTAATAATAAGATAAAAAAACTCATTACTCTAATTTAAAATACTCAATATTCTATTTTTATACACGCAAAATTTTCACTTTAAATTAATCAAATAATGCAAATAAAATATTTATTTTGTTACGACCATGACTCTTCTAAATTCTACTGGGATATCAATAATATCTCTCGGGATATCAATTGTACATCCCACATATGTTTTAGTTCACTAGAATTCTTGTTCCTGTGGTTTGTAGCCTCATAAGGTGCTGTCATCTATTGGCAGAAAGGCCCACTTATATAAAAGTAATATATCCAACTTATATAAAAGTAATATATCAGACATAAATCCTTTCGGAGCTGACGGTGCATAACAAGTTATTTACTATTTCGAGGAAAAAGGCTTATCTTTTCATAGAAAAATTGTCTAAAACCGTTCCCCAATTACTAACGAGAAAAAACTTTTTGATATTTTAAATTGTTTTAGCAACATTTATTATACAATATTTTATGTAAATTTAAGTAAATTTTATGTAAATTTTAATTATTTTTTTTAACTATACTTAAAAATTATAAAATAAAAAAGTTAGAGTGGGGTAGCATTAAACCGTATGTAGTTCATGTTATTTTTTATTTCACTTTACAGTACTTGATTTGAAAAATAAGAGTGGTTGACGAGAAGTATCTACTATCTAAAGAATGAAAAGAAAATTGAATGTCAACATTTATACGCCGGTACGAAAAAATCATCTTTAACAAATAATAGTTCTCAACATTGATAATATTCGCAGTCTATCTTGAGTCGGATTATGTTACGGATGACTGCCTATATATTATACGACGTATAACTGCTTGAAGTCATAACCGAGCAAAAGAGGTCATGTAGATGTACGTAAACATAGCGGCTTTGTGCGCCAGCAAGAACGCGCCGCAAAGTCGACGAAAATTCGCTCCCGCGGGGATTTTGCTCATCGCAAAATATCGTCGGCGTAACTTTATTCACTGACCGAATAACTGCCGCGAGACTAGTCATGCGATCAATAGCAAAACTGTAAGCAGGGAAATTTTCGTATTTCGATATCACGAGATATCGATCGTCGCACCGTCGATATGGAAACGTCACCGGTTGTCTAACACGCGAGATCTCTTCACCAAAAGAAATTTTAACATGTTATTTTCTTATTTTTCATTACCCTGCCCAGACGTATTCTTTATCAATTTCGTCGATCGATCGACGCGCATTGCATGTGTTCTTTATCGATAAGAACGTCGACACGCTTTGCCGAACACTAATTGTGCAAGGCGAGTTAAAGCACTATTCTGTATTGTGTCAATAGAAAAAGTTTAATGGTACTTATTACGTAAAAGTTTGCGGTGTTTTACATTTTACCGCCGGCAGCGTATGAAACGCTGCGAGAGAACTTGTATGCACTGTTCGGCGCATAAAATATGCATATAGGTGTGCATGCTGATGAGTGCATGCGAGGCCAAGTAAATCTCGCAGTCGCGATTCAGTCGCAGACTGCTAAATTACCACTCGAGTTAATCCGAGTATGAACTGATTGCAGTACTCAACATGCGCTGTGGGAGTACAAAGACATGCGTGTGTGTCTGTTTGTTTGTCTTATACCTCTGAAAAGGAAGAAATGTTAATTTCGCCCAAAGAAAGGACTAAAAATGGTCCAGATGTATAATGCGAAACGCAGAAAGGACTTCTTTGTGCCCGTAAGAATGCGCACGCGTTTAATTTGTTTCATATGGAATGCCCGCTGCATAACTCCGCGCGGGAGAGAAAGAGCAGAATTTGCGGAAATATCCAGTTGTGCTGAAACGTTTATTTTAGGAGGATGTAGTTTGGATTTTCTACAACGTACAACCGTCTACGAACTACAACGTATCGCTTGAATAAACCAGGAATCTTTTTTTGAAAAGAAAGCTTATTATTTTTTGCGATATATAAAAACTGCTTCAGAAAATAAAACGTTAACAATTTATAATTGTGATATCAAATTCGTAAAGAGTATTCTTTATTTATAATTCCAAAGGTTATTTCAGATCATAAATTTTAAAGGGTATTCAAATACTGTATATTTTGCATATCCCTTTTAATTCTCGTATGGCGCACAGATTTATATTAAACACACAATTTATTATCAAATGTACCGCGTTGTCGTTCCAGATTTTTTTTTTGCGGAGAAGAGAAATGTCTCGGACGAATCCCTGGATTGCGCCAGCTCTCCCAACTGTCATCCTATTGGCCGCTTTCAAGCAATTTCCTCGTTTTTGCACATTAAGGGCTACAATGCGTGGGACAGAAGGAACGCGAGAAAGGAAGAAGGTGGAGAGATGGCAAAAGATTATGTCCACACGATTCATTCAGCCGTGTGATTTATTGCAGCCGTGTGTGTGTGTGTGTGTGTTTTTTTTTCCTTTTCTACGCGCAATCAATTGTAATCTCATAATCAATCAGCGCTTTTGGAAAGTCATGAGGTGAGAGTCAATATCGCGATTGTTCAGAAGTCCATCTTTCGAGAGAAATCGAAACGTGAGGTAAGTCGTCGTACCTCCGCGCCATTTTGCCGAATCCCCCTATATCTCCTGTGATATTTTACCTCATTCTTTCGTATACACACCGATCTAGCGATAAAATTTGATCAAGGACAAGTGAAGATCCTCACACTTCGCCACGCAGAATCCGCAAAAACCCTCGAAACGCTTCTTTAAAAGCTAATACTCCTTAGCTGAATATCGTTCTATTGATCGCGATACATAAAAATCTTTTTCCGCGCGCGAAACTTTGCCGGAGAAACTTAAAATGATATTGCTATCCGTAACGGCACTACTTTAATAACATCGAGTTATCGATTACTATGATATGCATGTGCAATGGGTATACATTCAGATTAGATGGCCGTTTCCAAAGCGAATGTATCTCGTGCAGAAATTCATGCAAATATTTTCGAAAGATGACACAATCGCACGGTGCCGGGAAAAGAAAGCACGGTGTCCGTAATTACGATGTAATAATTATATCATTATTGACAATATCAATTCATATCAATTATAGCATACGTAACGATTATTAATGTACGAATGTTGTTACATTTAATATGTGATAGCATTGGATAATTAATTAACATTTAAACATCTTTGTTATGAAATTATGGTTATTACGATCGCAACACGTTTGTTCGCCTAGCAACATTATAATGTTACAAAGAGCGACAATATATGGGATAAATCCTGTGTGTCGCGCTAAATAGGCCATTAACGATAAATGGATATATCCTTTAGACAGTGCGCTATTTTAATGGAATCGTGCGACGTTAATTAATATTCTACTCCGGCTAAAATCTGCTCCTACGAAGGAGCGCGCTCCGGTTGCGCTAGCTATCAGCAAATTGTATTTAGCTTCTATTAGTGACGCCCTGCAACGTCGTATCGCCAACTCGATACTCGCGTCTGCATTAATACAGCGAAAAGAGAGAGACGAGTGTACGCGAAAAGTAACAAAGGATCGCGGACGCGCAGAAAATGCAGTTACCAACTATAGGAAGAGCGATAATGCGTCCGACATATTGCAGTAAATTAAATACGGCGTGACCATAAAATTGATATACCTTCGTAGATTAACTGAGAGAATGTCGCGCTTTTGCAAAAAGGGAGAGAATAATTACGAGGAAAATGGGAGAATTTATTATGAGATAAAAAGTGTGTTTAATTTGAATATTATTGATTTTCTACGTGTCCAAGCATTGTCCAGTAATCCAAACGATCTCTCTTCTTCTTCATTTAAATTCACAATAAAAAATTATAGTCTTATATTTTATTTTAAAAAATATATATAAAAAAGTGAATGTTAAGCTAAAAAAATAATTGTTAACATTATTTCTAGGCTATTTTTTTCATTTCAGGGATATCTCCTTCTATCAAACTGTCGTGTTGCATTTACACGATTCTTCGATTGCTACATAGCTACGTAGAGAAATAACAGCAGACCGAGAATGCGTTTGAATGCGGAAAATTTTTAAACGACCGATCCGGTCTCCT